CCCTAAACAGTCGTTTCCACCTGCTATCCCATTGACACTTATGGTCATGTTTATTTAATGGCAACCCCGAATGTCATCTGCAATTATCAGTCCGATTATGGACATTAGTTAAGTATTTATGGGATTGGGTTTAGCTCAAAGAAAAGTTTCTTTCACATTAACATTTTCTCGTTAAATATGCGGGGAGAAATCATAAAGGTTTGCCTGATAAGAAATGTTGATGTTTGTTTGTTTTTAAACCAAGTTAAAGACAACATTCTTAGTCCTAAGCTCAAGATGACTAATGCACTGCCAAAAGACCTTCATTTCCCTCTCCTCTTGGTACCTTTATAGCTCCAACTACAGGTAATTCCGTAGCTTCTTACGTTTTTGTAACATGAAATGGAAATTCGCGCTGTGAAAGGCGGGTGAGTCTGCTTCCCACCCTTCTTGGGCACCGCTCGACCTTTCCCCTGGCCTCTCGTTTTTGTGCAAGTAATTTACAGAATAGAATTCTTGATTAAATTGGAGTACATTTCGTGTTTCGCCTTCCCTTTGGCTGGCTTACTGGCGACCATCTTTTCATTTACCTGGAAGGATGAGGGTTTTCTTGGGCGGGAGCAGAAAAGAGCAGAAAAAAAGGTGAGTACCAGGGAGTGAGCTGTTAAGGTGGGTGGCGCCCCATTCCGCCCTCCCCAACACGGCGCATATAAAATGGAGCCAACGTCAGAGCCGTTTGAAGAATATTTGCTGCATATTCAAGGCACCGAGAGCCCTTTGTACCCCTTGTACTTCCTCACCTCCGTTGGCCCTTCAGCAAATCCATGGCCCGCCCGCCCTTTGCTTTTCCGTCGCCCCATTTTTCCATACCTTTCTCGCCTTACCTGAGTTTTGCTGAAACATGCGAAACTTATTTTGCAAGTTTTATGTCGACGTCGTCGAGCAGCAGCTTTTATTTTTTCTCCTTTCTTTTCTTGTTTTCTCCTTTAACATTTTTTGCCCTTTTTCAGTTTTTCACATTTGGCGCTTTGGCTTAAATTACAAATACACTGCAAGAAATGGGATGGAAAGAGAGGGAATACCTTTGGGGGATTTCAAAGAATGGAGTTTGTTTTTAAATTATATACAAAATATAAATTTAATAGGTTTTTCTTAACTTACACAACATTTTCTATCAGTGTACCGCCATGCATAAAATTGTTGGCGAAAAAACTTAGAAACCCAGAGCGATTCAGGCTAGGAAGAAGAAGGATCCAAGAGGCTCCACTGCCACACCCACTGGCAGGCACATTCACATCCCTGGCATAGCCATGGCCTCATCCACGCCCCCGGCTCAAATTGCATGGCAAGATGCCATCGCCATTTGGCTGGCTGAATCGCTGGCAGACGATGGCAACGGCCATGCCGATGGAGATGGCGATGGCGATGGGGAACCCAAGCATAAAATAGAATTTCTAACCAGCGAGCAGCGACTTAAAGCATTCCCATTTCATGGATTAAATGAGTTCAAGTCGGGAGTGCGAGGCGAGAGGCGAGGGAGGGAGAACGGGTTTATCTCGGGTCCCAGCCTCGCATAACTCAAGGCCCGTTATGAGGCTCGGCGACAGCTACAGAATCGAGAAACATATTCAATACGATGCCATACAAGAAGCTAAATATGATACATGGAGAGAAAATATATATTAGAATATAGAGTTAGGGGAATAAATAATATTTCAAATAGATTAAAAGATAAGTCAAAGAAAGATTTCTTCCTTTCCTTTTCTTTCCTTTAAGGAACTCATTTAAGATGATAAGGAAGCAACATATGTAGCAAGGAAACTATATTCGAGTATATGGAGAAGGATAAATAATGTCCCAAGATAAATCTAACAACATTAGTACCGAGTTTTACAATGTTTGAATGTAATCTGCAACTTATGGCATTTCCATAACCTGAAAGTCTCATTTAATGTCGTTCAATCCATGCTATAGCCAGTAGACTTGGACTATTTACAGGCTATATTCGATCATATCACACCTTAGGAATACCAATACCTATAACCATTACTTAGTAATCTTTCTAAAAAGTAATAGTATTTATCGTTTTCCTGTTTACTTTCCAATAACTCCAACTATTTCCATAGAAATTTCAAGTTAAAAATGTTCCAAAATGAAAACCAATCGTCATGATTTTTCTCCGTGCACGAAAAGATAAAAAACGGCCTCTAAAAGGCCTCAAGAACGAGCATCAATAATGTGTTAGGAGTCCAGGCTAGTTGGGCTAGCTCAGACAGGCTACTTTCCCGAACGAGTTGCGCGCACCAAATACGCAGCGGGATAAACGACCTCGAGGGGCAACCGCTGCTGCAACTGTGGCACAAAGGCGTTTGTTATGGTCATTAATGCTTTTATTGGCCTCGAAACGAAATCCTGTCGCTCCAGTTAAGGCCGTGAAATATGAAATTTGAATCCTGTGCTGTGCATAACCGACTACCGCCGTATCTCAAGAATTCTGAAGGTCAGAGTCGCCGGCAAGCAATAAATTTGATCGAACTGCTCTCGTTTTCATTTGAAATCTGTTCCAGGGTCATATATGGGCTTGACCTCTTTTCTTTTTTTTACGGCCTATCGCTGTTATATGTGAGGATGGTTGGCATTATGGAATCCCTGGGAATCCTTTTGCTAGATCAAACTCTTGGCCCAGCTGGAAACCAGGTTGCCAAGTGCCCGGACTACTCGCTCTCTTGCGCTCCACATAAAGTGATGCGATTAATGCAGAACATGCCCGAACTCTGAACTCATCATCATAAAATCGGGGCAACGACGACAACTACACACGCCTCGTTGGGCGGTGGTAGGTGGGCGGGGCTAGTCCCGAGCCAAATTAGTGCGATTCCAGATGAGACCCGGCATAACCCCATCCACAGTGGGCTCTAGCTCGGTCTCCGTCTCCGATAATAGCAATGAAGTAGAAAATCCCGAAAAGCTCTGAAGCGCATAATGATGAGGCGTTGGGGGGAATGGGTATGGGGAAAGTGGGCGGAGGCTTCGATAGATGGGGAGCCGCATATCAATGCGAGGGAGGATGGGCCCGGAATAATGCCCTGTTCGGCATCTGAAATGCCAACGAAACGGAAAACTAATTCCGCCGTTTGTGACTCAAATGGCGAGGCCGAAAAACAAAGGCGAGTTGGGGGTGTTAAACAGTCTGCCCACAGTGGGATGTGCCCGTTGGGGGGAAAACTTAATTAGCTTAAAAACATTCTGTGGAGATGCTTAGAGAACCTGATTTAAGTAGAAGCGATGTATCTTTCGCTGAAAGCATTTGCTTATTTTCTTATTAATTAATTTTAACACGGGAATGGAGTTTACTAATAATGCAAAAGTGAGGTGCTCTCATCTAACAGCCTTTCTTAAGTCTTTAATTATGCATTAAAGCTCGGCTTACTAGCATATCTATTGCTGGTGTAAAGTAGTTCCTCTTTTTATGTGCTTTTGTGTTAGGTTTATTAGAAAACTAACAGCTTTAAGCATCTAATCTGAAAAGGTAATTATATAAAATGCTGCCATATAAATATTTATGGACTTAATGCTGTATTTTATTCATCTCTTTAGTGGGAAGTTAAGGTTGGGCAGGCACTCGCTTGTAAGGCATCTTTACTCAGCTATAAAATATGTTAAAAGTGTAAAACTCTTTAATAGAATAAAACGTTTAATTTCTTTTCTTATTTATTTGAGAATTTACTGACAAGTTTAAAGCTACTTATTTATAGTTTATAAACTTCGTGTACCATCCACTGTGCCTATCGTTTTCCGTTGATATTTACCCAGCCAAAGACACGTTCTCGTTGGGCCTCCGCTGCTGGGGATAAACGATATCCAATAAAAATAAAGCTTTGCTAGTGTTCCGGAAATTCGGTTTTTGCCCTGGCCCAGGAATCCCGGCAATCTCGATCCCAATGCCAGCTCCAGCTTCAGGTCCAGGTCCACCATTGATGCTATCGCCTTCGATTGTTGATGGTTGGACTAAGGGGGATGTATACTCGTGGTGGAGGTCGAGGGTGGTGCACGATGGGGCATTAAATTGTATTAAAATGCGCAACGCGCACACACACACACCATGTACACCCACGCCTAGATCCACTCCCTGCCCCTGGGAGCCGCCTCACGCCTACAAAAGTGTTCCCTCAACGCCTCGACTAAAAGACGGCATTTATTTTTAGTTACCGCCGGTGAGCGTGGCCAAAAGTCTAGGAAACTTGGACAGGGGACGAAGGCGGGGCAAACGATTTTGGATTCCTGAACAAATGGTATTTTATTTATTTTTATTGGCAAATGTCAACGAGGCGTCGCTTCCTTTGTTTTCCCCGCGATGGAAATCAAATTGGACACTTTTAATTCTGGCAAGGGTCCTCGTCTCTCGGTTTTATGGCCAGCCCCACGGAATAGTTTCGCTAATGTATCTCGGTCCCCCATTAAAACTAAACGCTGATTCATTTCAAATTGCTTTCGATACATGTTTAAAGTTTAGATTTTTCTTTAAGGTTTTTAAAGGTGGTACAGCTTATAGTCTCTCAGTGGATGCCTTGACATTATTTAATATTAAAAATCAAAAAATGATAACTTACTAAACTTTTGAAGGTATGTTAAAAACACCTTAAAACAGTGTTGAACTGCTCAAAGTACTGAAATTAGAAATAAAATATTCTACTGATACTTGAAAATGACAAAGGAAGTATCATTCCTACTAGCGAAACTCTTAGAAAACCTTTAAAAAATATAAATTATATAAAAATGTATTTTTGAAACGGTTGGTAAGATATATATTGATGGAAAATCATTTTAAATAGTATTAATAACTGTTATACAGCCTGAAATAAAATACAAACTTAGAACTTCATTTACTTATTTAATAATTTATAAAATCAATAATATAACATACAATATCTGAACTTAATAGAAATATCTTCTCTTCTTCAATTTATAACATTATTTACCTTAAATTAAATAAAACTTATAATATCATTTTCATATTTCAGTTCCCAAAAATAACCCCTAACAAAATGCCGTCGGCTGAGTCGAAAATGTCGGCCATACGAATTCCCGGCGAAGAAGAAGTGGATTTAATGGAGAGCCATGATGGCCAGGCAGTGGAGAGAGACAGAGAGAGGAATGTCTTTTGGAATGCCAGAGAATTGGGCTGCGACGACAGCAACGCCGGCAGCGCTGCCTCCAACGTTCAATGGTTGCCTAGCGACAGCGGCAGCCATCATGGATGTGAAAGAGCGAAAGGGAGAGACAGAGAGCGCGCACCGCTCTCCGCCTCGCCCTCTCTCGCTCGTGCCAACGGCCATGCGGTATGCCTTAGCGGCCATGCTGCTCTGCTCGCCACTCACCTGCGACGTCGGCTGTTGTGAAGTTCTTGCGACGACGTGAGCGACCGAATTTCAGAGTCCCCCAAAAATTCGTAGGCCCCCAAAAAACAGGATTGCAAAGTGAATGGCAGAAGGGGCAGAGGAATTTCGAGGGAGCATCTGCGACTGCGTCGTCACGTCAACAAAAAAAACAAACAACAATGCAGAGACAAAGACTGAAAACCGGAGGAAGTTGCCCAGGGTAAGTAACGGTAGTTAGGGGTGGCTTAGAAAGAGATGGGTATAAGTTGACTTATAAAAGGATGCGCAGAAATTCTAATGCCTAGACAATACACAAACCAAAAGGTGAATGTCGTGACTAGATTTAGAAACTAGTTGGTCTAACTGGAGTTAGTTTTTAAAACCAGTTAGATGTTTTCAAAATTAAAATTTATTGAAAAAACTTTAAAAAAAAAATATAATTTGTTGCATTTGCTTTTATTTAGTTTCTTTCATTCTAAATTTATTTTTAATATTTTCTTTAAATTTTCCAAAACTTCAACTGAATTCCAAAACATTCGAAGTTCAGTTGCTCTCTTGCTTACCAACACATTCAAATAACGGTTCTCTTCCAGTTGGATTTTGTCTAAGTGTGCGTGCGTGCTCTCTTATCGGGTCTCTCTTAAACTGTCTATGTATTGGTGACCAGCCGCTCTTAGTTGAGACTCTTACCAATTCTCTTTACTGACTGCTGCACCTGTTCAAGGGGCACTCTTTGGCGCTCTTCGTGTTTTTCTTTTTGGCGCGTTGATGGTCTTCAATGTTTTTGTTTGCCTTTTTCTCTTCCCCTTTCACCGCACACTCTCTTTCTTTTTCACCGCCCGTGACAGCTGCCATTTGCTTATTGGACGCTGCACTTGCCGCGCTCTTCCTCGCCCCGCGCCGACACAGCTTGAAATCTTGTTAGAATTTAATAGAATCTCAAAAGTCCTGCGCAAGTTTCGCTGCTTTGGGGAAATGCAATTTCCTTTTTTTACGATTTTCGCTGCTTTGCCAGCTATTCCCCACTCGTCCTGTTATTTTTTTGCTCTCCTCTTTTTTGGGCTTGCATTTCATTTTTTGAGGGGGTTTTCCGCTGGCTGGAATATAATAAGTTTTTCGCTCGCTTGGCAACAAAGTTGGATGCATTGTGGGTGGCAAATATCAAACAATGGCCCAGCTCTGCTTTTTGCTGATAAGAATGATTGGGGCAATCGCACGGCGCACCAACAATGTTGAACAAAGTCTTCGCCAATGGGTTTCTCTCCCAATTGGATTGAGCATCCTTGCCTGGGGTTCAGGTCTTTGCTGGAATGGAGGGGTGGAACCTATTCAAGATCAAATTAATCAGAATAGCTCATCATTCTCATTGCAATATAAGTGAAATTATAATAAAGAAAGAGTATAGGGACAAGGTCGAAAGTAGGGAGCATCCAATCGAGGGCAGCTATTCGTGATAAGGTGCGGTTAATTATCATTTCCATTCCCGATTGCCGTTCCATTCGTCACAGTTTCGCGCCTTCACCCACATAAACAAATCAATCGGTTCGGAAAATACACTCGCACACACCCATACAGTCGCACTCGCATGTGGAATCGTTTAAATATATCGCATTGTTTGTTATTGAAACAATGCGCCTACACATTCAAGCCCAGGCCAACACAAACATTTATTTTTCCTCATTTTTTTGTATTTTCATTTTATTTTGTTTTGTTTACTTCGCACGTTTGAACAGAGCGAAGCAGAAGAGTGGAGAGGTCAAATTTATGCATGACCTTCATTGGGTTGGAGAAATTACAAAGATTTTATTAACTAAATATAATTTTGAAATGTTAGATACATTGTCTTAGAGGTCTTATAACATATCTTAAAGAAATGAATATGTTTGATAGCATTTGAAAGTTAAAAATGCGTTATAAGTCTTCTTTATGTTTTTATAAATATCTTTAAATATTTATTCACAAGTTAACATATAATATTAATGTCAACCTTTAACAAATACATTAAAAATCTCTTTTAATCACCTCAACTGCTTAATAATGAATAAGAACACTGCAAAGATTGCTTATCTCAACTTTTAACAGCGCTCTTTAACTTTAATGAGTTCAAATTCGGATGTTATTACCCCAAGTGATTAACAAACCAGTTTGCCTGTTAAGCCCAAATAAACATATGACGATACCTTAACCATAGTCCCCGATTTGGTAACAGCAATAAAGCATAAATGCAGCAGCCAAGTTAAGTAGGTGCAAAAGGCAATGAATAAACAGGGACGGGCAGGGACAGTAAAAACTTAAGACCGAAATCAATCTGTAAATTGGCGCAAATAACTCGGGCAGGGCAGGAGGGACATAAATCAGGAGAGGGAGGGGGGTTAACGGACGCCGGAGATGAAGCCACTTGACGGGATTCCCGGATTGCCAACAGAGATCTTTGGATGAGGACGAGCAACGGACGTCATAATCGTTTCAGTGACAAAGCATAAAATTTGAGTTTTACGATTTAACTGGGCCATAAAGCAACCAATTAGTGTCAGTGGCAAAGACACGGCTCCCCCGCAAAAAGGGGCGGCGGCTGCTATATTGGTTGCTGGCACGTGGGCGTGGCAGTGCGTGTGGATTGAATACTTTCTTGCCTACGGTTATGAGTGTGAAATGCGTTTAATTGCTTTATGATAATTCTGACAGCTCATTAAAAAAGTCGAAAAGAAGCTTTACCTTTACCGTTAACGTTCCAACGGCTTCTGTATTTCGTTATTTCGTTAACAATGGGTTAATGGCCATGGCTATGGGTTTTCCGTTCAAGTGACTTTTTAAGGAGCTGCCTAAAATACGACTTCCCCACTGCCACTGCCACTGGCACTGGCAGTGAGGAAAAGCAGGAATCTCAATCTTAACCGGGCCCACGGTAGGGAGTCATAAAAGTGACGACAATTTCGTTTTATTTTTTATGACAGAGCGTCGCCTGCGGTCGCAACTTCCCCAGGTGTGTGTCTCTGTGTGTGTTGTCCTCCGATTGGCATGTGTGTGTGTGTGTGTGTGTGCTGGTTGTGCAGGTGAATAATTTTCATTGCCGTAAATCACTGTGTCAATTGTGGTTGTAATGGCCGTCCAATGGATGTACACGAAAATGGAGACATCGACGAGGATTTATGGCCAGAAGAAGGGGCGGAGAGAGGAAGGAAAATGGCATTATAAGCATGTGGATTTATGAGGCACTTCGAGTATGACAGGCTAACTAAAATATATTACAGAATTAAGTATATAAATATTTATTAGTATTAGTAGGCATATATGCTAGTTAGATTGTTAGAAAGGATAAGGAGTGGGCAGGATTTTAAGAGGTTTAATTTATTTACAAGATTTCTGTGGTCAAAAAATGGTGATGGGTAAAAGCATCCATTGGTTATATAATTTATTTCCTGTAGAAAGAATATTTTTGATAGGGAAATGAGATTTTTCAAGAACTTAAAGTTCCTTTTAGACTTTTTTACAGTAGAAAAATGTTAGCTACTAAGTACAGGCATAAACTGCCTTTCAGAATTACAAATATTAACCTAAAAATTACACCTCTTTTTCTTAAATAAAACATAAAAACAGTAACAAAAACATCTAAGCAATGTAATTAAATATAAGTTCTACCAACTTCCAGAACTTCACTTGCCCTCTCAACCCATCAATCAACTTACACTCCCTGTTCCAGCAAGACCAAAACCATTTCCTTATCTCAATCAAGAGCACTCTGTGGCCAATGCAATTTGCTTCTCAAGTTTATCACACAACCAACTCAGTTCGCATGGCCAAGGCAAATTGCCTGCTAATTATGGTTTATGGCCCGCATATCAATCAAGCCGAATCAAACGCGGCCTGGCCAATCGATTGCCCGTTGGCCAGGCCAAAAGCCAGCCACCCAGTTACACAGCAGAGAAGTTTGTGTTTATTTGAAAGTCAATCTCCAGTGGAAGTGCGCTGTGTCGGCTTTTCAACTCACCGAAGACTGGGCTCAAGAACCTGCTCCTTGAATATATAAAAAAATGGGAAAATAAAATGGCCAGCAGGCAGGAAATTTGAAAACAAACAAGAGAACGCCCCAAGGTGAGCGCGGTGAGTAAACAAAAATGAAGAATGTTCGCTGATTGACATTATCCGGTGCACGGAGTACAGAGGCATCATATGCCGGGAATGGTAATTGGTAGTCCGAGGAAGGGGAATACATTTCCATTCCAAACTCAGCCACTAGCCTGTCGTTTCAAGGCCCAATACCATTTAGCATTTCCGCTGCGGCCATATTTCAAGCGATCGGTCTTGGAGAGCTTCTGCGGCGGGAATATCTGATTAACATGGATGGCCCGCGGCGCGAGATACTGGGTTTATTAAGCCATAAATTAAGGCAGGAATGCGCTTCTGCAGTTTTTTGTGATGGATTGCCGAAGCTGCTGCTGCTGCTGCTGTTCTGGCTAAAATAAACTAAACTATTCGTACTGCCCCAGCAATTTTTCATTTTCATTCTCAACTAAACTGACACGAGAGGAGAAAAAATTATTTAATTTAACTAAAAGCTTTGCCAGCTGCTCTCGTTTCCCCGCATTTTCTGGTGTCACTTTTTTTCGGTGCATTCTTCTTTTTGACAAAATGAAATATTTAAAAGTTGAGGAAGAAAATGAGGAAAAACAGAACGGAAAATCGAGGCTAGGAAACTTGAAATATTTGCCGCTGGCTATAGTGTGCGTGCTGTGTGTGTGTGTATCTGTGTGTCGGCGTGTGCGTGTGTATATCTGAGAAATGTCTAAAAGCGTTTCAACTTTAGTTTTCGTTGCTGGTTCTGCTGGCATTCTGCCTGCAGCTCTTTGTTGCTGGCCCCTCTATTTTATATTCTTTGATTTCGTTGAGTTTTTCCATTTCCATTGGTATTCCTTGGCAGCGAGAGAAGGTACACTTTGAGAAAAATTGGTGAAGTGTTTAGATATCAGCTGCAAAGATAGTAATTATGATTTAAAGTTAGTTTTTTGAGATGGATCTATGGATACAGGGACTTTTGACCGTAAAAAGGTGTCTAAAAATATGTTAAAAGTATTTTTTATTGCTCCTAAATTGATTTACATTGGGAACATCTTTAATCTTAATATCCTAAAGATTTTATAAGTAATAGTTTCGGGTATCCCCACCATCCCCTTAAATAAACCCAAAAAAGATGAACTTTTATCTTCAAACTTTCTCCCTGTG